CTTTTCTCTAATAGATTATTCTCATCATGCTGGATGTTGTTATACCGTTAATATAGAGCCAAGGCGATGCACCGTTTCCATAGTTACGTAACACATTCTTTTGATGAATGACAGCTTGTTTTGATAAATTATTCACAGCTCACAATCTGAAAGTCAGTTCTCAGCCATTTCAATAATGCATTTGATTGACTCATCACAATCATTTTCTAAAACAAAAGTGCCAGTAGGATTAATTCAAACTTGATAAATAAAGCAAAAGACTCCAGATGACGATGTTTAAGGAAAAGTTCACCTAAAAATGAAAAACGGTGTCATCATTTCTAGTACTCTCAATGGAGAGATTGAGACAATACAATAAAAAGAGCTGTCAAGCTCCAAAAAAAGATTTTAAAAGCACCATAAGAGCAGTCTATATGACTCATGACACCATATTCCATGTCCTCTGAAGCTATACTACTGGTTTATGTGAAAAAAATTACTACTGGTTTGAAAATACTTTTAGTCATTTTTCCACAGGAAATCCTTCCCTCTGCAATAACACTCAAATACCATTGTGTATAATACATGGCTACTTCTGAATGGCCATCAATGGAGAAAGATGTTCTTCTGGACCAGTCAAAGCTTGATCAGAACAAGAGGAAATGATGACAGGACTTTCATTTTTGGGTGAACTAAAAAAAGACTAGATATGCATAGGAATTTTGCATAGAGAGGCAGAGAAAAAGCGAGAATCTCTTTACTACAGAGAGCAATCGCTCTCCCTGACTTTTGTTCCAAGCGTAAGGACACACACGGGAAGACAAAGTTTGATGTACAGAACTCTGCAGAGCAAAGCACTTTACGAAGAGCATGAATTATATAGAGTTCACGACCATTGAGTGCGGCACAGTTTTTCGGTTTGTCTCTTTTCTCCTCGCTGTTGAGAGAGTGAACATTAAAACAGCTGCTGGCAGGACAGAGTCCATGTTTTACCCAGCAGTGACTCACTGTTGAAAGCAACGACGCGTCGACAAAAAGCGTTTATCAGTGCGCTTGGAGACGTGCAGCGGGTCGGTCGGGATGAGCTGGCACACGAGACCCTCTCTAAATCAAAGAGGAGTTTTTCAGCTAAATCCATGCAAGTGAACTTGAAGGAACTCAAGAGCAAAATGAAGAATGACAACCAAAGTTTTTTTGTTGTTGTTGTTGCTCACAAAGAAATAGCCAGGATATATTTAACTTTCAAATCAAAAGAAAAAAAAGAAGAACTTACATTTAGCACAAAGATAATGAAAGCTATTTTTTATGAATTTTAAGACTGCTGACAATAATATAATCTAAATCCTCGATCACTTTTAGTCAGCTTTGACGAAACACCTCTCAGCTAGCACGTCTTTTCAAAGTGAAAGTAGCCTTGTCACCTGACCTGAATCAAAGACTACAGAATACCCAAGACGTGTCACTCGTATAGTTTTGAATAGGAAAAAATGCACCGCTCAATATGGCCAGTCAATCGCAGGAAGCCCCGCCTTCTGAATGAAAGAACCAATCGCTAATCGGTAAGTCAGCACGTCACTCGTTTATCGGTTTTTGCAAATAAACTCTTCATATATATATATATACATATATATATATATACAGGGATTGAATTTAACTTTTTCACTCACCAGCCAATTTGGCTACTACATTTTTAAGTTACCGGCCATTCATAACTTCTACT